GTCAAGGTTAGGGTTTTGTCCACTGTGAGGTGTCCAATCTGATTTTTTTGGGGGGGTTTTGGCATTGATCTTTTCCTGAATGTTGTCAGAGAATGAGTTGTTGTTGGGAGTGGGTTCAGTTTGGTCGTGGAAATATTGCTTGAGGCGGAGGCATCAGAAGAATTCTCCTAGTTCTCCACACTGAAGTATTTTATTAGGGTATTTTTCTGGACAGAAATGTAGGCCTTTAGAAAGGACAGATTTTTCAGTTTTGGTAAGCGTGTGTGTGTGTGGAGAGAGTGATAATATTTGTGGGTTGGTTGCTGCTTTCAGTTTTATCAAGTCTGAGGTTGGAATGTTGTAAGCTGTTGGTGTTGTTCCTCTGATGGTGAAGCACTTACTAACTCAAAGCACTTACTCTGCAGTTGTTAGGATCAAGCTCTTAGACTACTGTATTTTGCTTCTTAGGTTGTAAATAGACCTTGCATTTTTCCCAGGAGAAAGTCTTTTATCCTAGGATCCTACAGACATACAGGTCCACTGTTTTGCTTCAAGTGCCTCTGAAGTACACAGGATGAAATGCACTTGTTTCTGGGTCATGGCCATGTGGGTCTGTAAGGTTATTGCAGGACTAGCTGGGCAGCCTTCTTGTTCTTGCTGGCAGAGGAGCAATAATGCAGTATGTGATACTGCCTGTATAGGACTGTTGTGTCTGTTCTGATTCAGGTCAAACCCTGGGACAGTCTAGCCTGCATCAAGCGAGACATCTATTTACAGACTTAAAGAGTACAGTAGGAGGGGGCAGATGGTTTTTCAGACGCGTGAAGGACCTGGATGGTTTAGCTATAATAAAAACTTCAGAGAAGTCCTCATGATTTTTTTTTCATGCCTTGTCATGTCCTAGTTCTAGCCACCAGAGTAAGCCCATTGTGAAGACTCAGGATGTCTAGCTGATCTTCTGAGAGCATCAGAGCTCTTTTGTCTGGATCTGGATGGACCCTCTCATTCTTTTGAGGTTCCTTCACAGCTGAGAGGCATACTAGGTCTCAGCAATACTACACATTAGGTTTGAACAGACCTTTTGTAAGTTAGGTAGATTCCTCTTCATTCAAATATATATTCTCCAAACTCCTATTTATAACTCTTTTTTTCCTCTCGCTCTGCAAAAGAGCATCTGACTGTCCCCTGACAATTATGCCTGTAGCTCTGTCTTCAAAAGAAATACAAAAAATATCTCAAGTGGGCACAGCTCTCCCTTGATGTGTGCAGTTCTTTTTGCAAAGATAAGAAAACCGCAGTCTGACATTGCTATGGACCAAGTCAGATTTTTTTCTCAGAATATTTTTTAAACTGCAGTTGCTTTGAAATCTTGTATTTTATTTCTGTCTCTTCCTTCATACCTGATACACCCACCACATCTCCAGTTTGACAGCATCACACAAAGCTACTCTCCTCCAGAAATTTATACTGCATAGCAAGCAAGGGGCAGGAGTTAAAGAAGCATTCATTTAATACGTTTCATGGCTAGAATATAAGAGGGAGCTGTGTAGCACATTCAAATACATTCAGTACTCGCATAAGAAAGACACTTCCAAGGTGTGAGGAGGATTGGGAGAACTATGGACAAATAATCAATGAAGAATTTGTTTGTTTAAAAAACAAACAAACAAACACCTTGCTCATGAGATGCATTTCTGACCATTATAATACACGGCTTAATGCCAGGAGGGAGAAACAGTATATCCTTGCTTTGAAATCGCTGTGTGACACAGAGGAAATAGCAAACATACAATAAAGAATTCTAACAACAGTATGTTGTTACCTTTGCAGTAAAAACAATGCTTTTCATAGTGTTTCCCATTACAGATGAAGACAGACTCTGTCCGAGGGAATCCACAATCCTGAGATGAGAACAGAAGAATATATGACTGTCCTAGGAAGAGTTAGGAGATAGGAAAGATTATGAAAATGGCAGTATCATGCTTCACTTGGGAAGTTAAGTCTTGAGTGTAAATCAGCAGAGAATGCATGCCAAATTTAACATTAAAATACAACATTTCACTACTGTTGGGATGTTTGGTTGTTTTATACTACAGCTAGTAGGTACTTGGATGATTTAGGAAAAGTAAATATGTAAATGGTCATCATATCTAAAAGCAGGGTTTGGACACCTTATCAAGTGGGGGCTGGGTGCTTGTGACCAAGCCACCACCACAGGCAGCCGACCCCCCACCCCACCACTGATCTCCTGCTATTCCAGTCTCCTCCCTGCTCTACACACTCTCCACTTATCAAATACCTCCAAATGCTATGGTGAGTACCAATGGGAAATAGAAAATTCATCAGTGAGAGCACAGAGCTGGGAGTCTTCAAGTGGTTCCTTCAGTACAGCCCCAGTAAATTGCCTCCCTCCCCCAACATACACACACATGTAATTACTCTTAACCAGACTTTCATGGTCCAGGTACAGGCTTTTCAGCCAACCCCTGACTAAAACCATTTGTTCTTTGTGGCTCTGACAATGATGATGATTACCATGATGATGCATTTAAAATTTTAGGCATATATCTGCTATGTAGCCAGAAAGTGTCAGGATAAAGCCTCCAGTCTGGCAAAGCATTTAATCTCATGAGCAACTTTTAATCAAGAATTAGTCTTGTAGGAGTCACATGGTTAAATAATATGCTGAATGGGGGCCAAAATCATTGTGCATAAAAATATAACAAGATGGAATGACAGAAAGGAATGAAACTTAAGTCACTGTTCCACAGCAAATATTTGATCAAACAGATCTGTCAAAATATACCAAATCCCTGGAAATTCTTAATCTTGAAGGGCATTGCTTAGACGTGGGACTACAGAAGTAGAGATGAGAGTTGTACTTGTTCCACTCTTGCCAGCTTTTGGCACAGAAAGTTCTGGGCATTGGAAGCCTGCAAAAAGAATTGGCATCCAAACTATTCAAATGTCTAATAATTGCAATAATAATTAGTACTTTACAATTAAGTTACTTACTAGTTCCATTAATAATTACACTTTGCAGCTACCTTTCAGCTGAGGAACTCTTACATTCTGAGAGTTTCTCTGATAATGATCATGCTACTATCTTTTCAGCTGCAAATCATCCATAATTTCTTGTGGATACTACCAATAGAAAGTTTATGGTAGTAATTCAGATTTCTAAATTAATGCATTGTGATAAAAAGCAATCAGAGAATGAGAATAAGAATAAAAACCAGGGTTTGGTGATATTTACTACTCACTCCTTACCAGGTGCTTTGGCACCTGGTCATCTGAAAGCAGTTGCTAGTCAAGAACTACACACATAGCTGTATCTACAGTGAGTTTTCTGGTCATTATGGAGGATGAGAATATTAATTTCATAGTGTAGGCTGCCAACACACTGGGTGCAGACAGAAGTAACAATTTTTGCCTGATCTGGTCCTTGAACGCACTCTACAACCATGAGCAAACGTAAGAGCAAGGCTGCCAAGTGCTTAAGAAGGGTTTAATCCTGCAAAAATCTGAACCCTCATTTTGTGAGGGTTCAGATGAAGATGTTCCAAAACAGAGTATCTTCTGTAACTTGTGTCTGCCTGCCTCCGAGCCTCCAAGCTGTTTTCAGAAAAGGAGAAGAGAAAGGGATCAGAGGGTGTTTGGTCTGGGGTTTTTTCATCCCCCACTGGTGGGTGTGGTGGGGGTGGAGGAAGGCTCCAATTCCCTCACCCCACCCTCCAGTGGTATCTGGGAAACCCCTAGAATGAGCTCCCTCTGCTCCCATACCATTTTGAAAGCAGGGACAGGCTGGGAATGAGGAGAAATTATTGCTAGGGGAAACTGGCTATAGACTTTGTGACACAGTGACAGCTCTCCAACCAGTCACAGTGCTGGTCTCCCACTGCCTCCGGGCATACCGCCCATCTATCTTTCCTGCCATGCCTTGCTGTTAAGTAATTACAATCTTAATTAGGTGGGAGGCTGCCCATTCTGGGCCCTGGTGTCTAGGGCCTTGAGTACACATTCCTATGTCCCCTTGTGTCCCATGCCTGCAGATGTTTCTAACAACTGTGTAAAGCTCCAGCCTGAGGCTGGGCCCAAATCATTAGAGTATTAGGCCTCTCCCAACTTACCCTGTTACGGGGCACACTCATACCACCTCCCTCTCACACGCCACATTCTCTCACACAGTCTCTCTCTTACTGCCCTTGCTGGGCTTCATTTGTACCTCCCCTCCTTTCCCCTGGGGCCACACTCATCCTACCCTATCCCAACGGATCCTCAGGCTTGATTTCCTTCACTCCCTGGCCAGCAAGTTTGTGGCTTTTTGGGCATCTCCCACTACCCTCATCTGAACGAGTGCTGGGCAGTTCTCAAAATACTGTGCAGACTCTGCCTTAGCCTCATAGCTGGGTAACTCCCCCTAGCTGCTCTCCATACAGGGCTGCTGACTTGCCCCCTAATTTCTCCATGACTTCTCCTCTGCCACCCTCCAATCGGCCTCAGGCTCCCAAAGGCTTACCTTGACCAAATTCAGTCCCCCAAGTTAACAGGAGCTCAATTCATGCCCCCCTAACTCACAGAGCCTCAACTGTTCAATTACTTGGGTACAGCCCTTCAGGTGCCTTTCTGCACCTTTACCTCTCCTGAGGCACATACTCCTCCCCACTTCTCTGGGGCCTAGGGCCGAACATGCCAACAGGCTCAGGTGCCCTTTGTCAGCATGCCTGACCCGCAACTCTCCTTCTCTCCCCAGGATCTTACACTCTAAAAGGCTCAGGTGCCACCCCTAGGTGTGCCTGGCTCCCATCTCCCTCTTACCAGGGTCTTGCACCCCAAACAGGCTCAGGTGCCCCATATGGGCATACTTGGCCCCACTACCTACTTTGGGCCTTACACCCCATCAGGCTTAGGTTTCCCACATAGACATACCTGGCCCTAACTCCCTCTGATGTTACTAGCAGATGTTGCGGGCAGGGGTTATTAAGGCACACCGACCTGCCTTTCACTGGGATGGCCCTTGAACCTAGCATTTGCTGGTCCTGCCCCACCACAGGCAGGATCATCAGGCCTCCCTATCCTGGCAGAGTGCAGTTTTCGGTCACGCCCAGGACCAGGAGCCTCCAAGCCACCCCATAGCTCCTGCCCTTACCTCCATGTTATCTCCAGAGCAGCAGCAGGATATTCCTTCCTCAGTGCCAGGCAGCAACTGCTGTCTCCAGCCCTACTGACCTGATTCTTAACATGGCCACTCACCAGGACTGGGTTTCACCTGCCTGCTGTCTGGCTTAGTTCTTAAAGTGGCAGAGCACCATGAGTGCTCTGACACCTACCTTCCCCATTAAAATGGTTCCTGGGGAGGGCTCTCCCTGCTGCTAGTCCCACAAGCTCCCACAGAGCTTGCAACATCCCTAAGTGGTAAGCACCCCACTGGTGCTCCAGCACACACCTTCCCCCTTAAAAATGAGTCCCTGGAGTTTCACCTGGCTGCATTCCCTGCAGGCCCTTCTCCAGCCTCCTGTACCCCACTCTATGTGGCGAGTACCCTTCCAGTGCTCCACCATAGCTTGCATCCAGCAGCTAGATTCCACTCCCCTCTGGAACCAACAATGAACTTCAGTTTGGTCCGGGGGATTGTTCTAACTCAGAATGCTTCCTGCAAAGTGTTTTACATTACAGCAGAGAGCCGAACTCCTGTCCGTGCCCACTGTCAGCATGTTGATTAGAAATAAAAACAAAATAAACTCTAACTTGTTTTGAAAGAACTTTCGTAGGACTGAATGAATTTTTCCTGCATGCAAATGCTAGCATTCTCAGAACATATTTAGATTAATATGTTTATATAATAAATATACACATCTTAGATGTGTTTTATTCTCCAAGATTAATAATGTATAATATGTTTTACTTTCTTGCTAATGTCATAAATAATTGCATGTATACGAATAATTATTTATGCTACATATGTATGCATTGAGAAACATTAAAAGTTGCTTAATGTGTACCATAGCAAGAACTTGCTAGTATTGGAAAGAATTGTTTCACACCATTGTTTTGGTCATTCACCTTCATTTGAGAAGAAGAAGAAACAATGCAGTTATACTTTAATACTGCATCATATAAATAGATATAGATAGCTCTGCATACATTATTAATATGGGTTTATTGTCTACTTTATTGGCTTCACTCATGCGCTTCTCTTGGGAAGCCATGGAAAATGGAAAGATTGTACAAATGCCCATGTTAACTAGGGCCACTATATACAAAACAAATGAAATTGTAAAAACACAAATATTCACTTGAGTTTCTTCTTACAATTCACATAACATAATAATAAATAGTCCATGAAGGCAACCCCACTAGCTATTATTATTTGCATTATTTTGTACATTTTGTATCCAAGGCACTTGTTCTGGTATTAAGAATTTTGATTAAAATTTCAAACCTATGTTTTGTTGCAAGTGATCACAATTTTTATTTAGAAGAAAAAAGAGATTAATATACTAACTGTCACTCTAGAGGTAGCATTAACTGTGAAGCCAAAGGGAAAGGGACAAAGTCCTACTTTTTTTGAAGGGTTTCTATTCAGTCTTAAATGTCTTTCAGTTTGACCCTACCTTCAGCTACTGTCATGGCTCATATTATACACAAAAAAAGGAAACGCTGGGCATGTGGGATCATTTTCCAAAGTAAATGTGTGTCATCCTAAGGTTAATCACTGACAAATTGTCTTATGAAAGTTTGGTACCTGAGAAAATCTGAAATTAATATAGCTCAAAGTTTCAATCAACTCCTTTCTGAGAACTTAGGACATTGTGAAGAATAAAACAGACCTTAAGTTATGCTAGAGGCTGTAGATATCAGAGACAGGTTCTCCTGGGGAAAAAAAATGGATCGATGTTCAGCCTTGTGACAATATCTTTGGAGTCTTTAGCTAATAATATCATTCTGAAGACCACAGAATATTATGTGACTGTTGAAGATAAAATACTGAGATTTGAAGCTGAATGGTTGGAGAGTCATCTGAAGTGGGACAAAATGGAAATAGACTTTAAATATATATTGTATGTGGATATGAAATACAAAGATTTTTACAAGAATGTTTTGTTGGACTAGTCAAGCCAAGTCTGGCAATCAAAGGAGTAGAATCTATATGAGAGAGAAGCAAGACACTTCTGCAAATCATACTGTAGAGGCCAAATTATGCAAACTACAGAGAAGCAGCAAGTGTACCCAAAATGTAGTTAAAACTATAAGATTGATTTTTCATAGAATAGCCAAGGGGCACACTGTTCAAAAGGGACTTAGTATCACTTAAATACTTTTGAAAATTTTACTTTTTTCTTTTTCTTTTTTTTTTTGGACTACTGCTTCTAGAGGCAGGTGTCTCTTGACTTCTGCAGGCTTCATAACCAGGCTATTTTCTTATCAGAAAAGTAGCCCTTAGCCATCATGAAGTAAGAAGCCTTCCCAATCCAAATGAAATTCCCAAACTACCACTAGAAACCTTAGGGTGTCCCTGGAGTTGGCCTTTAAGCACCAGCAGCAATCATAGCAGCCTACCTTAATCCTGTCATACTTTGGAAGGACAGGGTATTTCCTTCCTCAGAAATTTGCATTCTGGATTTGGAAAGGCAACAGCCCTCCCCTGGCAACTATATAAAGCAGCTCTCTGCAATGAAACAAAAGTGAAGAAGAGCTTTATAAAGTCCCCAAGAGTCTCACACCTTATGCTCTGCAGCAGCTCTCCTAATTCCTTCATACTTGCCCCCGTCAACATTGATAAGTCTCTCTCATCTGACACACATTTTTATTGTCCTTGACTGTTATCCATTTACACAAAGGTTAAATCTCCCCCTCTAAGTCTAGCTGTACCTCATGGTAATATACCACTTAGAAAACAATTCTTCCATTGAACAGAATGAGGGCATAAGTGTTTTGGCTCAGCTGCTGATTTTTTTCAGACGGTAGGTCATTAAGCTGGTACAGCTTAAAAACCCTCTCACACTTTGACAGGTCCTAGGGGAGAACTTAGGAATTGTCATTGTAATGATGAAATTACAAAAGGAGTAGCTGTATGCCTCTACTTGTTACAGAGGGAAAAGAGCACAGTGCAAGCCTGGTGTATTTAGACTAATGCTGAGAATTTTTTTTCAAGCTATCCAAATTAGCACCTGAAAGCATCATTTTATTTTATTTTGGGAGCGTTGGGTTAATTTGGTGGATTTTTTAGTGTTTTGAAACACCACAGAGGGGAGCCTTTTAAGAGCATGTCCTTAAAGCGGTCATTTTCTAAATCACCAACCATGTGATCGCTGTTATAGACTGGTCTGGACCATCAGATTGGGTGTGGGAGGAAAAATGCAGCTCTTTTACTGTCCCAGCTAGATGTGTGCCTGAAATGTAACCTCACTGAACTACATTAACTCCATTGGGATTTGCATTCAAACTATTAAGGGAGAACTATTGGTAGATCTGTTCCTGCCAAAGAGGCTAGTAGGTCTACTGAAGCATGATACCAGTTTTACTCTCATATCCACTCTGTGCGGCATAGCTTTCTCTCTCCCTCTACTAGCAAAACCATGTACTAGTTTATGAGTCTACCTCAGCCTTTAAGCCAAGGTACTACAATAGATGCTTTTGCAATAGACGCTTAAGGTTTTAAGTCCTGGATTCAACTTTTATTGTAAAGAGTTCTGTGTTAGATAATTAAAAATGTATCCATAGGTCTTAATTATTCTCCCAACAGTGCAGTCCCATTGAGCGTATGTTGGTTGCTTGTCATAAAACAGTTTGCCTTATAAAGAGGTGAAGAGGAGAATGTTTCTTTCTTGTCATTGTTTCTTTAAGTTGTTCTTTTCCAATTATCTTACAAACTTCAGTTCGAATGCTTTGGCATTTGGAGTACTCCCATTTACCCTGCAACAGGCCAGGTGGCTCTATTCATAGTAACTCTCATTCCTTTTCAGTTACCAAAGACTCATCTACTTAGATTTTTTTCTACCTGCAGGAAACAGGATCTTCAGAGGTTTTTCTGAATCTCTTTGTAATATTAGAGAACACATACAGAAAAACCCTTAGGGTTATATTCTACTCTTGGTATCGTTCACTTTAGTTTTGAAAAATTTCATAAAACTTTCATTAGTGAAGACCGGCTCATTCCCATAAAAGTTTTTAAATCATCTCTGTCTAATCAGAGGTTTAGCATAGCTCCTCCATGAGGTTTGGTTGGGGGAGGGGAGTGGAGGGGGCAGGTGGGATTCTTTTTGCTTTCCTACTCATTCTTGAGTAAAGATCCCAGCCGTCAAAATATGCCTTTAGTTTTATAACCTGCACCTCTGTGTTCCTCTCCTTTTAATCAAAAGGCAAAAAATATTTTGATTAAAAGCTGTTAATTTATTCTGGTATATTTAGGCATTTACACACATGCAGGGAGGCTGCTCCGACATGCTGTAAATTTATCATGTCAAAGCAAATTCTATTAATTGAGCCTGCTGTAGTGCAGAAATTAACATGTTCCAGCAGCCTCCAGTGTCATGTGTATCTGCGTCCCCGCACTGAAAAATGGTAGTGGGGTGCTTTGAACTAAAGCTTGTTGAATGTGTTTTATTTCAAAACACCCTGCCTCCATTTTATTCAGTGTGGGGACACTGATACATGTGACAATCGGGCACTTCCAATTAGCATGGCTCACTAATTGAAGCGCCCCTGCCCTTCCCCACTTCCTGGAACATGTCCATAAACACCCTTTGATTTCCTCCACATGCGCAAGGACTGTTAATTGTATCAGCACAGGCTCAAATGAGACCAACACAGATAGCATAACCCTTCCCACAACTGGATCACGGAAGATGTAGTGTACACATACCTTAAGATCCCTGGAGAGAACCCCATCTTCTAAGTTAAGTTGTTGCATTTCATTTATTAATTCACCTTATCTCCATATCTGTAGCATTCAACTACTCACTGAAACAACAATACCAATTGCAAAATTGGCCTGCCTGGGTTTAGATACAAATTGGTCTCTGTACCATTAAGAGCTTGGAATCATGCACTCTCTGATGCAACAATTCAGCTACTCCTAGCCCCATTGGATCATGGGAGTTTAGAACTTATATCTGTGATCAGTCTAAAACTGAACTGTGCAGCTGCTCTCATAGTAACTTTGGTTAAAAATATGGGATTTTAGAGTAAAGACTGTTACGGTTGGCAAAAACTGGGGGGGAAAGCAGTGGGTGTTTGTCACAGGGCACTAACGTGCCCACTCCTAGAAGAGCAGAAACTGCCTGGGGAGAGAGCCCACAGAGAAAGACAGAAGCCCAGGTGCAGGTTACCAGGGCAACAAGCTAGAGATCAAATTAGCCTGAACAGCTGACCAGAAGGGGCAGGACCCTGGGCCCATATAAACCCAGACTGGCACTAGGGAGTTTAGTTCCCTGCTAGCAACCAGAGGCGAAGGAACCTCTGGGGAGGAAGTGCCCAGTGATACTGCAGCTGCCTGATATGTGGCACCTAGGACTAATGGGGCTCCATGAGCTCTACAGGTACCCTTGCCTATTAGACACTTAGTGCTGGGGATGAAGTTCGATGCTTTTAAAGGGGTAGAG